ATTTTTTTATTATATCATGAGCAGATTTCAATAATAGTATTAATTTTCCTTTTGTTCCGACTTTTATTGTTACTTTTTGTTCGAAAAAATTACAAATCTCTTTTTTTAAACTAATGATGTGATCAGATGAATTTTCATCATCTCACTTGAAAAAAAAATAATTTCATTTCTAAAGAATTGTAAGTCATGAAAAGATGAATACGGAATTTCAAAACTCATTATTGGTATCGTTTTTTTGTTCTTGTAAATAAACATTAGTTTTTAATGTATCGAACATTGCTTGAAGATCGTTGAAAATGGATTTGTGTAGACAAGAGAAATAAGTAACAGTCAAACTATATAATATTTTTCCTTTATTACATCATTATATCAAGTATAAGAAAGCATTTTAGATAAATGGTTATTCAGACTTTGAACAACATGTTTTATTTTCTCTATAGAAAAAAAAATAAATGATGGACTTGTACTTTCAGATTTACGAAGTATTTGAGAAGCTATAAAAATTACTATAAATATTTGTCTTTCGTCCGTCAGCTCTTCTACATACATTTCTTTCTACTATTTACGCTAGAATTCTTCACTGATATAATTTAATAAACTAAGTTTTTATATGAAAAATCTGACTCAACGAATTTTTTCCCCAATGAATATGGTTAATAGAGTCAATAATTGAATCATTACATTTGCAAAGGATCACCCAAGGAAGCTGACTGTTTAAAATAGGATAATGAAGCATTTTTATATTGTACATTGATAGCAAAGAAATTAAAATAATAAATTTCATTGGTATGAATCAAAAGAGACGAAACTATCATTTATCAGAAGATTGCCTTTTCAAAAATCTAATCGAATGAGTGATATGCCTTAATTCGAAACGGTATTGTGCAGAATTAAAAACATGATGTTTTTTACACTTCGCTCGTATCTCATCTGTATTTCTTCGTACTTCATCGATACTCCACTGGTACTTCATTGTACTCTACTGGTACTTCAGCTGTACTTCACTCGTACTTCGTCTGTACTTCATGCGTACTTCATAGTACTTTTGAAGTAAATAAAGTCTTGTTTTTCCCCCTTGCACTTACCATAACTAAAAGCTAAAGGTTTTTGTTTAACAGAGAAATTAGAAAATGAACTGACCTATAACATATAATAGGAAATATCTTACAAGAGGATGCAGATGTGATAAGAACATCCATACTCATAGGAACATATTTTATAATACAAAATTCAAAAAATTAACAATCACAATCATGTGAAAGTTTATCATGATGCTCATCACTAGAAGAATAAGTTTCGTTTTTCAGTTGGTTCTGCGAAATGTATTACAATGTAACAACAAAAAGCAATCAAGTGTTTACATTGGAGATATGCACTAGCGATATGAAGATAACAGATGAAATGAAGACGATCATGCCGTTTTCAGTACTGTGATATCTAAAAGTTGAACTCAGTTACTGAATATATGGTTTGACAATTCAATTAGTGAATAATTTAACTTCAGTTATTCAGTAATTGAACAATCGAGCCATATTTTCAATAATTAAAATCAAGTTTCAAATTTGACATATATTTGTTGTATTAAAACATTTATTGGAGCAAGTTCCTAATAAAAAAGTCGATTCAATACATGTCAACGTGTTCTAAATAAATATAAAAGAAAAACAAGTCAGTTTGATATCAATAAATATTCTATGTCAATGCAATGTTTAATCAACGCTTTTCTTGACCCAAAAAGCCAATTCAAAATTTTGAGACACTGACTTCAGATCCAAAATTCCCGACCTCAATTTATGTTCGTGAACCTTTATAGAAAAATTTCTTAAGCGGATGTTCTTTTTTGGTCCTAATGCTTTCTTTTTGACTCTGCTACTTTTGTTTGACCCCGCCACAGATACACACAAACCCATTGCTTTCATACGATCTTCCCTACAGTTGAGGGAATAAATACTTATTGTGGTATTAAACGAAATGATATTTTAAAATTAGCTATATCGCATCATTTGATAAACTATCTTTTATATCGGAATATTCAAACAAAATGAGCAAGGTCAACGGAGTCAACCGTGCTTATTTCGTTATTTTCTTTTCTTGTGTACATGATTTTTGTGCACGAATTTAGATTTCCTTTTTTATTGTTTCTGTCATATTTTCTATGCTAATATAGTTGGAAAATATGAATGATTGCGCTGGTCAAACACAAGATAATAGTGTTTCTAATAAAAAAAAGAAACACTTTTATGGTACTTTAGAAAGTCCTGGCTACGGTTCTGTTGTTGGTACAAGGCTAGGAACACCTTTTTGCTTACGTCCAAGCTTTTTAGGTACTAGAAGACATGAATAAATGCAGGAACATAGTTGGAGCAGTAGTGATAGAAGGAGTAGCCAAAATGCAAAACGATATAATGTTGGGTAACAGTAGTAAGATTGAGCCAGAGTGTGGTATAAAACGTTATCCCATGCACGAAATACCCAAACGCAGCCAGCGATAAACCAACCAAAGAGAAATACAGCAAGACAGATGATAACTATTGCAACATCAGCAGCACTAACAGTAGTTACAAAAATACAAATATCAAATGGATGATGTTCCAATCTCCATTTACCATAGAATGATAAAAGACCTTCAATAATAATTAATACAATAAGAGTAAGTCCGACAACACCTGATACGAATAAATAACGTGGTATGCGCCAATTAATTGGACATTGATCAGCGTAACGCTGACCAATAATTAATTGGAATACTGTAAATAGAAAGACAGATAAAAATCGGAAATATTTCGATTTTATTTTGTTTCTAATATTATAAATCAATGTTAACTTTCGAATCAAATTCTATCGCTCTTTAACAATATTACAATATAGAAGCTATTCTTTCTGTCTAAAATATCGTAAGAATGATACTCAAGAAAAAGTGTATTACTTACATGGAATGAAGGCTATAATACCAATAAAAACAATTAATACAGCTGATCTACGAGGAATCAAATCCAATGTCTTCTTTTTACTGCTCGTGGATGGAAATTGATCTCCCTGCATTAATGTTTTACTTTGCGCATTCTCGACTGTTATATTTTCTGCTTCTGCTGATTTTGAAGCTTTCTTATCATTAACAAAACTTTTTGCTCTTATTTCTGATGCTGTATTTATTGGTTCATTTGAAGCGACCTCTTGTTGTGGTACCATCAATGAATTTACCGATTCATTAGCAATAGTAACACTTTCCACTGTTGGATTCCGCTCCACAGTAATAATTGTTTGTTCTGTGGTAGTTGTCATCACCTTACTACGCTCAAAGAAATTCACTTACAATTGTAGTGTGAAAAAGAATTTTGATTTTTGTGCAGTAATCGATCTTTATGTCACCTGAAGAATAAACGCAACATGGTCTTTTGCATTATATGTTTCACTTTCGTTTCTCGTCGACTTTTTTTACCACCTCATTTGTTTATAATGAAGGTCATAAAAATAATGCGTGCTATGTTTGGCAATAGAAATATTTTTGCGATGATAAGATGTGTGACGCATTTATTACTTCATTTTTCACTTTGTTCGAACCTTATAATAGTAATCTTGTGCATAGTCATTATGAATAATTTAATGATAAGTTGATTGCATATCTTATGAAAATATAACGAAATTTTTGATCACGTACATCGGATTCAGTAGAAAAAAATACCATGGAAAGGACGTGGGTGTGAGTGTGGGTGTTCTTTAAAACATCCAAACTCGCAGCCGCACACCCTATTTCATAATGTACGTTAAAAAGATGATTCGTAGAGGCGAAAAGCCAGTTTAACATCTCAACGTTGCATATTGAGTCACTGTAGAAAAATGTGATTACTATAAATGAGTTCATCATTGTTTCAACTAAGCCGCCTTAGGAATTATAGAAAAAATTGAATATTGAGGTATTACCTCAATATGGATGTGGTGTGGGTAGGTGTGTGAATTTGGGTGTTAATGTCAGTTTATTCTTATTGTTTTACACCCAGATCCAGACCCGCATATACACACACATTCTATTTTTAGTTTTATTTTATTTTATTAATCATCAAGTGAATAAAACTGAAAATAAAAATACTCAAACGATATTATTTCATGGATATGTTTTAATTATTCATCAATATATGTGATTAAATTAATCTTGAATATGAAATATATCATAGTCTTTGCTTGAAATAACTATTATTCCATTATGAGCTATTATATTATAACTGTAATAACTGCTATTTCGGTTATACACAACAAAAGAGACATATTCTCATTGGAGATTGCCAATATGTGGTGAGCAATTCATAAATCTTATGATGGAGAAAACTGATTTGGAACTAGTACATTGAACTTTTGTTTCAAATATTTTTTTTTGAATCGGAGGGTAATACGGGGATAATCAAATTTATCTTTTTTTATTTCATAGTAGATCATTGTTTTTGTGCATATAGACTCCATTGCAGCATGAATAACAAGCACATTTTGACTATCAAATTAGATTTGAGTTAAGTCTATATCAAATGAAGTTATACGTGAGAGAATTGAACAATTGCTACGTATGTATATGACTTGTTATCTAATTTACATTTGATCATTAAATATACTTTCAATATTGTTGCGAATCACTAAAACAAAATTAACGATACAATTTTGTTCATGATTAGTATGTTTTCAATTAAAGAGAATCTCATTTCAGGCACGCTGCTTTTGTTTATAGGCTTCTTGAAATGAAAATAAACAATAGCTAATTCTCCAAATGCATTTTTTCACTTTCTTTTTAAAGAGGCATGCTATAATAGAGATTTGTTTTCTTCTAAGTAATGAATATTCTTTTTAGTATGAATGTTAGAAATATTTTTAAAAATTTTTGCAATTTGCTCAATAGAGCACATTTTATTCGTATTTACTATGAAAGCCTTATTGCAGATAGTTTGTCTACTGTTTTCATCGTTATTAACATTTCGGTTGATAGAACGTAGATATGATATTTGTTCTTCCTTTTTCTTCCTTCTCTGGTAAACTCCTAGGAGGAGGAGGACGATGCTATAAATATGGTCCTGGTGAGAAAAGCAAAAATAACAGATTATCACAATAATTTTAACCGATATAGATCCACTACTCTAAAGTCTCTTGTATTGTAGTAACTTACAGGCACTAAATACTGCATACGTATAGATGTGTAATGCTCATGTTTGAACTAGGCAAAATTATTAGAGCATTTAACAATGATCAAGATTATAAAGTCGGACACCCGAATGATGCTTTCCAGACAGTTGCTCTCCGGATACTTGCTCCCCAATGACGCTTGCTCTGAAATAGCAATATCAAATAGAATTCTTATTAATACAAGTACAATGTGTATATCTATTAGATTAAGACATAGATTGTAACAATAGAAAAAGAAAAATCTAATTCTTTATATAAATAATTGAAATATTGATATTTAATTAATTAGTCGTGGTGTAATAGTATAAGATCAGACAAATAACTAAAAGAAAGTATGAAAACAGGACACAACATTGTCACTTTATTATATTTCATTATAACAGTAGTTCTCTTGATAATCTACAGTATTTTTCTATCTTTTGTTCTGTATCCATTATTGATGGATATATCTATATCATAAATTTTTGAAATTTTAATAAAATTCAGTAAAAATAGCTACATGCTTACAATACATGAATTACAGAGTAATTTTGAAATACTGCATGGATTTCTAATCACCTCCGTCTGTTCATATTTTTACTAATTTTCAAGTCTTTACAAATTATTTTGAATTTGTCAACACAAAAGTCACAGCTCAAGACCAAGTGAAATTGGGGAGCAATTTTTCGGGCAGCAAATATGTCTGGACAACAACTGTCAGGGGAGCAACTGTTTGTGGAGCATCATTCATGGATTCCTTGAGTATATCGGTACTCAAGTGTCAATTAAGTAAAACAATAATTTAAAAGTATCACTTTTTCAAGCTGAAATGGATGTGTCACGTACAATCTTTAATCAAATTTTTCTGATTCACCAAACGTAAATCACAAACTTTATCGCATAATTGGATTGTTTTCCAAGACAATCGACTGGCAGAAAAATATATCTTATTTACTTTGCACAATTCGAAAAAAACTTTCTACTAGTGCTCTATCATTATTTAGACTTGCTCTATTTTTTGCGTTACTTTTATTTTCTTATTTTAATCCACTTTGTTTCGCATTATTATTTTGCTAATAATTGATCGAACCAAGAAAAAATTATATTATTGAACGCATGAATCATTATGCACAACAAATATCAATAAATTTGTATACATCATGATCTATTGATAAATATTGATCAGAGATGTCCATCGCGGTTAAAAGGTGACCGCTGCTGCGCCGCGATGATAACAGCAAAAAGGCTAACGTACCGTTACCGCTCTGCGGTGAGTAAAACAGAAAACCTGCAGCGACGCTGCCACACCCTCGCAAAAATAGCAATGTCACAACCGCCCCGCTGCCGCAATGATTTTCACGAAAATGATGTGAATTTTATGACCTGTGATGGCTCAGAACCAGAACTTTTCTAACCAATCAACAAGACTCTTTGAATCTCATAGTTCTACACTTGCAAACATTGAATTTCTGTTGAAATTTATTCATTTTTACATTGCTCTCCAAAAAAATTCCCTCGTTACCGCTCCGCACCGCGACGGTAGTTTGAAAAAGCTCACCGCTACCACGCCACGACTGCACATGGCAGAAGTGGCGCGGTAGTGGTAGCGGCACCGGTCGCGCCGCGATAGACATCTCTGATATTGATATTAATCTTTTCTTTTAACTCAAAATTCGATCAGTTCAGCCTTCGTATGCCACGACTATGTTACGACTAGTAAGTCATCATACTCTTAATGTTCATTTGTCAAATACTGAAGTACCAAATTTCAACTATAGTCAACATTGAAAGGATACTAATGAAAATATTGAAGAAAAAATATCAACAATTGAAGTTATCGACAATGAATTCTAACTACAAAAGTCTTTTGAAAAAAATAGGTGAATTTTTTAACTTTGTTTAAAGCAGTTTTCTTTTCTTGGTCCTTAATGTTTGTAGTGTGGGTCCAGGACAGGGTAAAAACATATGGAAAAAACTGATTAATCTATAACAAGGAGTGAGACGTGACAAATGATAAAACACTTCACCTTAGAATGGTACTCATAATTTCGTTTGCCTACACATCCAGGTTTCATGAGAGGTATGAATAAGTTGTTTCTTTACTGACTATTCTAACGGTTTTGCATGTTTTCTCTGGTCGCTGTCTTTGGAAATGAAAGGAAATTCAAAAGTTTTAAACCTTTCCCCAATGATCTTATTTTTCAAATAGATAATGGCATGAATGTTCATGAACGACAACTTATGTGTTAATAAGCTGTAGAGCCCATCGGGTCCAAGAATTTCTGGACGCGGATCCAGACCCAGACCCGGTTTTTTCAAAATTTTTGGACCCGGATCCGGATTCGGACCCGGACTCATTCGATAGGAATTGTTCTATTGGCAGGTCAGCCATCAATAAATTTTTAGACCCGCGGACCCGATGAAGAGAAAATTTTCACACCCGGATCCGACGGACTCTAATGAGCTGAAACCGATTTTTTTAAGTGATTTTGGAAATTGTTTCCTTTGCTACAAATCACAAGATACCCCTGAAACAGCCCATTTCATGTTTATTGTATTATGCATATTAATCATCCATTGAGCAGCTATCTGCACTGCTATATACATCTGCACTAGTATCATGGTAGTCAAACTGTCAAAGTCTGTCCGTCGGCTTATTTAACAGTACAACATAGTCATGGATAGAAGATAATATCTTCTACTGAACTCTCACCCACACTCACGCAGTCGCATATTATATTTAAGCAATCAATCACTTTCCATTTTATTTTTTTTTTGTTTTGCTGATAACTGACGACCACCTTCGTGCTCCTTACAGTACATGAGTTATGAGAAAGATAGAAAAAAGAATAGAAGAAAAGAAGAGAAGTCACCATCCGTTTAGAAGGAAAAAAAGAAATGGAAACATACATGTAATTCAGTAGCCAGCATAAGAACATTACAATTTGTGTATTTTAAAATTATTTTGGGAACTCATAATGTGATGACTTCTTCAGAATCAAAGTTGAGGTTGGAATCATTTGAGGGGACGCTTGCGCACCAGGAAGTGTACCTTTCGAGGATTGATGTGTATTTAACGAACTTTTTGGGGCGATGAGTACCTTTTACCTTGCTCTCCCCGTGCAGCCAGGTTTCTCTTA